CAGCCTGGGCGTCTTGGAGCATCACTGGGTAACCCTGAGCACCCCTGGAGCATTCCTGGGCATCACTGAGCACCCCTGGAGCATCTTTGGCTATCCCTGAGCATCCTTGCACATGGGTGGGGGAGATGGAGGGGTCCAGCTTCGGGATCTGGGACAGCCTGGGCATCTTGGAGCATCCCTGGGTAACCCTGAGCACCCCTGGAGCATTCCTGGGCATCACTGAGCACCCCTGGAGCATCTTTGGCTATCCCTGAGCATCCCCGGGTACCCCTGAGCATCCCTGCAGGTGGGTGGGTGAGATGGAGAGGTCCAGCCCCAGGAGCTGGGACAGCCTTGGGCATCCCTGGAGCATCCTTGGGTACCCCTGAGCATCCCTGGGTGTCTCTGAGCACCCCTGCACATAGGCAGGGAGATGGAGGGGTCCAACCCTGGGAGCTGGGATAGCCCTGGGCATCCCTGGAGCATCCCTGGGTATCCCTGCACGTGAGTGGGGGAGATGGAGGGGTCTGGCCCCGGGAGCTGGGACAGCCCTGGGCATCTCTGAGCATCTCTGAGCATCCCTGGATCACCCCTGGAGCATCCCTGCACGTGGGAGGGGGAGATGGTCCCCAGATCCCACTCCCAGCCCCCAACTCCTGGGCAGCCCCAGGGGCACAGGGGGGCCCGGGGCTGACACTTTGTCCCCTCTTTGCCCCCCCGCAGCCAGATCTCGGTGCTGGCAGGCGGGAAGGCCAACTGCTCGCAGTTCTGCACCACGGGGATGGATGGCGGCATGAGCATCTGGGACGTCAAGGTGAGGTGTCCCCACGGTCCCTCGGTACCCCCCAGGCTGGGAGCGGCCAGCGTTGACCCCGCATTAGCCACAGCTTTAATTGCAACCCCCCCCACCCTGTTGTGGGGCTGGGGGGGGGCCCCATCCTGCCCACAGGGGGCCCACAGTCCTGGTCCTTTAACCCAGGGCTGGGTGGGGGACACCCCTGGGTGGCACTTTGACAGCTCCCTATCAGCACGGGGACAGGGAGAGGGTTGAAGCAAGCCTGGCG